TCATGGTGACCCCTCCCAACTATAAATTACTTTATTGCTACTTAATAACTGTAATTTTGATGCTGTTATGAATTGTAATGAAAATATCTGTTATACAGGATGCCTGACACTTGACCCATGTGAAAGTGTCCTTTCACCCCCCCCAAAGGGGTCATGGCCCACAAATTGAGAACCTCTCCCTTAAGCCATGCTTTCTGGATTTGCATAACAGTTTTATAAAATAGGATAAAATATTGTAGACAGAAGTCAAGTCAGGCAATTTACTATAGTAAACCAGCATATCATTTTACCTCTTAAGTCTTTATAGAGAAGGTTAATTAATAGTTAACATCAAGTTTATACACAGTAGTAGCATCTGCTATCTGAAAGCTAATGTACATTTTGCTACCTGGTGTAATTTATAGGAAAGATGAGGTAGAGTTAAGTATTTGTTATGAATACATATCAAGGTTATCTTTTAACTTTATTTGAAAATGACAGTTCAGTGAGATCAGAGTCAGCCAATTACCTAAGCAAAATACATCCATGGCAAGAACAGCCCCAGATGGCAAACACAGTTTACAACTTTCTATAAACAAGCCCAGTTCCCTGTAGTACTCATTCCAAAAGCTATTATCAAATATCCATTCTTGAGTAGTCATGAAACTATTAAAAACAGTTTCAAATATTAGAGGAAGCACTTGCTCATCTTAATGAAGAGACTTTGATGGCTTAGAGGCAATAATATGACAAGAGGCAGAATAATGGATTCAAGTTATATTGTGTGGCAAATGGCACTATAAATATTTACTTAAGATCTTCCTTCTCCATCTAGATAAAGGCTGAATGACAGTACCACCCTTTCAGTTTCCAAAGCACTTGGACTACCAACTTCCTAACATTCCCCTATAAGTCCTGTTTGAAGCAGTGTGGCCTCCTCTTGGTTGCTGATTCTGATTTTAGTCAAGGATGAATCAAAGACGTTGGTGTGTATACTAATTTCCACATAAACAATTTTACATCACTTTACTGACACAATATTAATTTCATTAGATAGACAACACAGATTGTTTATACTCTTCCTTGTCTCAGTTACTATATGCATATGCTGTGCCTAAAAACTAAAAACATTAATATTATGATACTGTTAACACTTTTATCCCTGAGAACTAAGAATTTAAAATTCAAAGCCCTGGCTTTGAACCCCAAGTATCAAAATGAACACATGAGCTATTTTATCTTCTTTGTATATAGAAAAATCTCAAATATAATAACATTGTAAGACTTTAAAATGTCCAAGTCCAAATGTCAGATGTCAATTATAGGTTTAAATATTTGAATAATTTTATTGTTGGTCTTGCGAATTTTGAATAAGTTCAGCAACTGCAATTACAAGGACTTCTCATAAAATAGCAAAGCACCTAGCCTGTATACCTATGGACTTGAGTTATACCACCAATGTGATCCCTATCCCCATTCAGCTGCCAGTGTTCAGGACATATGACGGACATGTTAGACTTCATAGATAGAGCATACAGTCACAAAACCTAAACCATGAGGAACTACATACCAAATAGTTTGAGTTCTCCCACATCTCAGATGAACTGTCAAGGACAAAGGAGACAGAAGGGAAATGTGTGGGTTCTGAGTATTATGAAAACAAAAACAGTAACTTCAAGAACAAGAAAGTGACTCGGGATTTAGAGTTTGATGACAATAAAGACAGTGATGTGTGGTGATATATTATGTACCCTAATAAAATTTGCCTGAAGATCAGAGAACAGAACAAACCACTAGATTAAAAAGCAAGGTCAGGCAATGGTGACACACACCTTTAATCCTAGCACTTGGGATCTCTGAGAGTTCAAAGCCACCCTGGACTACATGAGATTGATTCAGTCTAGGAGAGAAACAGAGCTAGACAGTAGTGGCACACACCTTTAATGTCAGTACTTGGGAATCACACGCCTTTAACCCCAGCGCTAGGAAGGAAGTGATATGGCTGGGCACAGAAAGGTATACAAGGCATGAGAAGACAGGAACCAGACCCTTTTCAGCTAGAGGCTTTTCAGCTGGAGAGCCTTTCAAGCTAAGGACTCAAAGGCTTTCAGTCAGAGGATTCCTAGAGATATGATCTCACCTTCCATTTGGCCTGAGGATTCAGTAGTAGATTCGTGCAACAGATATTAAGTGACTATAAGACTCAGCAAAGTGGTTGCTACTGATGGGAGACAGAACATTGCCATTGGATGGGGCACCTGAGGGGCTTCTGAGGAACCAGAAAGTCCTCTGTTAAATCTGCATGTTGATTGTGAGACATCCATTCATCATGAGTCACTAAATCCTGCATTTGTTTTGGGTGTTTAGCTGTTTGCTTTTAAAATACAGTAAGGACTGGGGGGATATGGCTTAATTGAGAAAGAAATTGGCTGTACAAGTCTCATGAGTTCAACCCTAGAATTCACCTAAAAAGTCAGAACAGTGGCAGGCATCTGTGATTGCTTCACTCCTGGCAGAGACCTGGAAATTGCCTGGAAGCTGGAATATCAGTTGGACTAGAGCACACAGTACATCCCAGAAACAAGAGAGACCTGTCTCAACAGGTAGAAGGGGAGAGCCAACTCCTGAACAATGTCCTTTGACATGCACAGTCCTGGTTAGGGTTCTGTTGTTTCAATGAAGAACCATGACTAAAGCAAATTGAGAAAGAACGAGTTAATCTGACTTACACTTCCACATCACTGTTCACCACTGAAGGAAGTGAGGACCAGAACTCAAACAGGACAGGATCCTGGAGGCGGGAGCTGATGCAGAGCCCATGGAGGGTGCTGCTTACTGGCTCACTCACAACAGCTTGTTCACCCTACTTTCTTAAACAGCCCAGGACCAACAGACCAGGAGTGACCCCACTCACAATGGGCTGGTGTGTCCTGTGTTAATCAATACTTAGGAAAATGCTCTACAGGCTTTCTTACACCCTGATCATATGGAAAAATTGAGAAATATGGCTCCCTCCTCTTGGAACCCTAGCTTTTGTCATGTCATAAAATTGGACTTCACAATATATAAGCTGTGGGATGTAAGTGCCTACACACACACACACA